GATGGAAACAACCTAAGTGCCCATCAACAGTTGAATGTATAACCAAACTACGGTACATACAGACAATGGAATACCATGCAACATTAACATGGATGAACTTGGAAGACATTATGCTGAGTGAAATAAGTCAACAACAGAACATATATTTTATGACCCTGTTATTATAAAAAGCCTAGGTTTATACAGGAAAGGAAAGTTCCTTTTTTGGTTAGCAAGGATGGGAGGAGTGGGCACAATAGCTGACTAGTTAAGAGACATGTGTTGACATAGAGTAGTGGAACAGAATTGAGAACCCAGAAATAGATCTATTGACCTATGGTCAGCTGATTTTTTACAAAGGGCTGAAATCCATTAAATGGGCAAGAGGTGGTCTCTTTAACAAATGGTGCTGGCAAAACTTGATATCCATTTGCAGAGAAGTGAAACAAGATCTGTATCTCACACCATACACAAAAACTAACTCCAGATGGATCAAATAGTTAAATGTGAAACCTAAAACTATAAAGTTCCTCAAGGAAAAACTAGGGGCAACTTTAGGGGCCCTAATTTATGACATAAATAGACTGTCAAGCATAACCCAAAATGCACAAATAACTGAAGATAAACTAGATGAATGGGACCTTCTCAAAATTAAATTTTTATGTGCTTCAAAAGACTTCTCCAAAAGAGTAAAAAGAGAACCTACAGATTGGGAAAAAATATTTGGCAAATGACATATCTGACAAGGGATTTATCTCTAAAATTTATAGAAAACTCCAATACTCAACATCAAAAAGATTAAAAATACAATTAAAAAATGGACTCAAGACATGAATAGACACTTCTCCAAAGATAATATTCAGGCAGCCAACAAACATATGAAGAAATGCTCACAATCATTAGCCATCAGAGAGATGCAAATCAAAACAACGTTGAGATACCCCCTCATACCAGCACTAATGGCAAAGTTCAACAAGACAGCTGGCGAGGATGTGGAGAGATTGGGACTCTCATACACTGCTGGTGGGATTATAAAATGGTACAACCATTGTGGAAAGCAGTATGGCAATTCCTTGAAAAGCTGGAATTAGAAATACCATTTGATCCAGCAATCCCATTACTAGGTATATATCCTAAAGAAGTGAGAGCCAGGACAAGAACAGATATATGCATGTCCATGTTCATTGCAGGACTATTTACCATAGCAAAAAGATGGAAACAACCTACATGCCTATCAACAGTAGAATAGATAACCAAACTATAGTACATACACACAATGGAATACTATGCAACACTAAAGAATAATGTAGAATCTGCAAAACACTGTATAACATGGATGAACTTGGAGGATATTATGCTGAGCGAAATAAGTCAATCACAGAAGGACAAATATTGTATTAGTCTGTTATTGTAAAAAATTAAGGAATGGTTTATATATGGAAGGAAACTTTGTTTGTTGGTTACCAGGTTTAGGAGGGGAGGGGACGAACATTGCAAAAAAAATGCATTGACTCATGTCAGTTTAGTTTTGTGTATTTCAATAAAAATATAAAATATACTGATACAGCAAAAGATAATATAACAAAAGTGTGTGACCAGCAGAATATCACTAAGGAGAAGGAAGACACAGAGTGGTGTACAAAAGGTACAGACAACAATTGAAAAAAAAAAGACAATGAAAGCAAACACTTTTACATACACAATACAGCATTATCAGTAACAACAAACACTAACTAACCTATGGATGGATATAGAGATAGACAGGCAAGAAGATCAGGTATGGGCAGGGAAATGGAAATAAACCCATGACCATACATTGTTTGGCATACAATATTCTTATACATGTATTTCTTTTAAATTGTGCTTTAGGTGCAAATTTACAGAGCAAAATTTGTTTTACATTCAACATTTCATGTACATTTGGTTTTACTCCCCAATTACCATCCCCAACACTAACCCACTATCCTCCTCTCCATTCCCAGTAACCTCCCCCATACCCTTCTTAGTTATGCACTGCTGTGTCTCCTGCTTTTCCTCTGTGTGAATGCTGCCCCTCTGCAGCCCCGTGACCGTTTGCTCCAAGGGATGTATCTCCATGGAGTATGTGGGTGCATCACCCTGGGTTGAGTGGTCTGC